AAGGAGATAAATACTAATTAGGCCCTGGTGTTGAAGAGGACTCGATTTTTTGGGTTTTGTATTGACCCAGTCTCGCTCTCATTTGGACTTACTTCTTTAAGTATAGTAAGCGGCCTATCAAACTTTCTAACCTCCACAAACACGTATTTATTGAAAGATCACAGTTAAGCATATTTATTTCTAAGCTGCTGAATGAACAAAGAGACCGCTATTCTCATGATGATGTTGTGGCTTTGAGAGGGTTCAAATTTCTGTGAAAAAATTCAATAAGGCTACAAACTGCATTCCACTCAGTCTAAGAACGTTATTTAAAGCACACTTCTTCGTCATACAGCATTTCTTCACTCTCAGCTGGCGAGGTTAGTATTTTGGATGAAGTGTGTAATAATTACTTCATCAGGAATGTGTCCTATTTTCAGGATATAACAGTGATCCCAGTGTGCTGCAAATGGAGTTTTGTTTCTAGCTAAATTAAAGAAACTCTTTTGAAGATTCTACCGTCCATGTAAGGTGTTGTTGTGTAAGTTCTTTGACACCACATCTCCTCAAAGCTTCTTCTGTAAAAGGGAGGATGGAACAGTCCAACATATATTTCACGTCTGCTCCCACCCTAAAAATGAATAGATGTATGTTTTATCATTTTTATGGTTTAATGGGTTTTTACAATTCCAAACAAATCACACTGATTTGATAATGCTGTATTTTTTCTTGTATTCTGGATAAGTTTCATATTCTTAAATTGACCTAGTTTCAGACTATTTTTTTTAATATAGAGTCCCTTCACACATCTACGCAGCATTCTAATACGTACAGCATTCTAAACAGTATCGTTGGTGTCCACTGATACTTCTTCGTAGGTATGTTCTTTCTTTGTACGTACGATGTGATGCACATCGTCCCCAAAGATGAATTCTTTGTGATCTCTTGAAAGATATCTTAGAAGGCTGTGACACCTGAGGGCAGGTCCTGGAGTCTACGCCAAGAAGAAATTCAGCCAAATTTAAAGAAAAACTTTCCCCAGACTGTGCGAAGTTGGTCAGTTTTTCTTTAAATTTGCTTTACAGGCTAGATTCCAGCGTCGGCTTATTTACATGAAACCTACTATATCTTAACAGGCAATTGAATATTGTACATCATTTATGCTCTCATATACTAAACACTAAACACTAGCGGACTATAACCGACATGTCCAGACATGTATTAGCAATTACCTGCCACCGCCACCGGAATTGTTGCTGTCATTTTTGTCCGTCACTGGTTAGAGCATGTTTAGCGATTAAAAGCAGTGGAAGCGTCAGATTCAGAATCTCTTAGGCATGTCAAGGCAAACTGCCGGAGAAAACCTGTAAGGTTAGTTAAACTAGGTCTGTAACGGAATCTGTATTCTTCTCATAGTTATCATAATTGCGAGCGCCGAGCAAACGGACGAGCGGCTGCTGGCACGGGAACATTTACAGGCCGCTCACTGCTGCTGAACTCATGTCAGAAACAATCCCTAGAACTAAACCAGTAATAAACCAGTACAGACAGTAATGGTGACCTGACCAGCTCAGTTTCTCTACAGCTTCATAGTGTTTAGACCATCTGAGATGGTAAAGAGAGTGTTTCATGTGATGCTCGCTCTAACAACCATCTTTAATTTGTGCTGAGAGGCAAACCCAGTCCTGTAGCTGAACAACACAGATCAGAGCCAGTTTAAAGACAGCACGTCTAAATATTACTGAACCTTATTAATATGTTCATACTGCAGGTCAGAGCTGAATACAAATAAAAAGTCGTTATTTCATAAAAGTAAAAGTGGATACAGGTGGTACTTGTTACCCCTGCCTTTAGCCCTAAACTGTTAGCAACATGCCATGTATAAGCGTAGCTCAAGCTGATCAGTGCATGAAATGGAAATAAAATGAAACCCTTTTTTTGTTGTTTTTTTTTCCTCTCCTGTACCGAAACCGAACCGAACCATGAGGTCCGAACAGTGGTTTGTGCCAAACCGTGACCTTTAGCTTTACACCCCTAAGTTAAACTAAATTAAAATGATTACTTTCACATTTTTTCCAGCAGTAAATGTGATTTCTGTTAGCATACTGCTGTTAAATTAATACAGAAGACACCCTGCTTTTAAAGTGTTTTTAATGGCTGAGGCCTAAAGTAGATATTTAAAATAGTGCATATACATTCATATCAAAAACAATATTTTCTCTAATGCCGTTAAAACATGCACATATCAGAGAATGTGTGACTAAAATACAAACCACAACACGTGGAACTTGTTTTAACCCAAAAATACTTTGTCCTTCTCAGAAGTGCATGTGGCAACTGCTGGTGAGCAGCAAGCTGCTTTGAAGGCTTGCGGTATAAGGCGCCGGTCGCCCACAATGGTGCTTGAAAGAGTTTGAACCTTTTAGAATTTTAAATATTTCTGCGTAAATATGACCTGAAACATCATCAGATTTGCACAAAGCGGGTCACACCACTGTAAACAGATGTTCACATATATTTGCCACTCACAAATATATAATATAATATTTTCTCTCATTTGTTTATTTGAGTTCTCTTTATCTACTTTCGAACTTGACTGAACATTTAACGATGTTTTAGGTTATATTTATGCAGAAATATAGAAAAGTATAAAGGGTTCACAAACGTCAGCTCCACTGTACGTTTCTGCACACAGCTCGGAGGTTTGTTAACTCAGTTTAAGCTTTAAACTTTTTTTCTTTGCAGTTCCACACGTGATGACGTCACGCCTGTTATTATGTGTTAAAGGTTCCTGTTATTATGCGAAAAAAAATCTGTCCAAATATTCAGCTTTTTCGTCTTGTTTATTCACATCGCGTTTGGTGTGTGACGCGCTTAACTCCGTTTGCAGTCCATGTCAGTGTGTTGCACTGCTGAGCTTAACGCTGCTAAGCCTGCCTGCCATGCCTTGGTTGTGAAATGTGCACAAGGAGCAGAACATCTCCGCAAAGCTCCGCAAACTGAACATGAGGTAGACTTCAATACTTAGTTTCGCTTCGTTTATTACGTCTGTAAACTGGTCTGAAATGTTTGAGGGCTACTAATGTTTTTTTTTTTGTTGTTTTTTTTAATACAGGGTTCTGACAGTGATGAGGCCTGGGCGCAAGTATTTGTTGGGGTTCTGACTGTCATCAGTGAAGATGTGCCTCTCCTCAGATCACCTTGACCCAGTGTCTACTGCCATCATTGTTGGGAGACGTGTTGTGATAGACAATCTATAGATTAGATACAGAACCTACCTCAAGCAACGTGCCTCTTGTTTCAGCTGGCATATGCTTTACACTTGGATTACTCTAAAGCCACGAAAAACACTTTCAACTTCATTCAAAGAGCGATGGTTGGCTTGGGAGAGAACAAACTTTCACTGCCAACTCTTAAAAACCTCCTGTTGAGTTAGAATGTATAATCAAGATTAATGTTAAGACGGCTCACTTAAGACAGTGGATTCATTTTCTGTCGAAGTATATTCAGTTCATATATATTTTTTTGTGTTGCTGCCATATATATATATGTACGCAGGTGTCTTCTTGTAAACCAGTGCCAGCCCTATTTTCAGCCCTTCGTGCCTCTTCTAAAAAAAATAAAAATGTGTATAAGTGAACTTTAAACTGTCAGTACCTTGATTTATTATGAGGAACTGTAAATGGGCGTATTTCGGAGAGAATGGAATCTACCTTTCATTCATGTTTAATGGATGTGTTTGAAAAAAATATATATTATAAGCACAGGATGAGAGGGAGAGAAAGAAGCTGAAGGAAACTGACGGGACTGAAGAGCAGATCTGATTGAAGTTAGTGATCAAGAGGAAAGCGCGCGAGAGAGAGTTGTATAAGCTTTCGGTTAAAATTAATACTGGATTTAACTATATAATATTTAATATAATACAATATTTGTCACTACGACCATGGAATTCTGTCACCCAGCTTATTAAACATGCCTACAAAGCAAAATCACAGTCTTCTTGAGACTGAACTGATCTCTAATCGTAGAGGACATAGCGTTTGTTACATTAGCTCTGTGCTTAATACACAAAGAGGCAGATCTGCTATGCCGATTTGACCAAATAACCATTTTTGATCTATTTTCTGGCTGATGCTACTCAAAAAGTACATGATGAAAATCTTGGGGCCATTAAAATTTGTCGTGGGGGACCATGTCTCCCCACCCACCTACCCCCAGTACAGGCTTAGCCCCCCTTTCCTGAACGGAGGAGCTAATTGTAATATAATATAATATAATATAATATCATATAATATAATATAATATAACATAATATAATATAATATAATATAATATAATTTTTAAATATTTAAAAAGCCTCGCTTATACACTGCATGTTTTTGTTGGATTCTGACAATAACAGTATAACAGTCGAAATTCATATTTGGGAACGTCATACATAGTACGTATAACAGTACGCTTACACACATTAATACATCTATTAACAAGAGAACATTTTGAGAAAATAAATGTAAAATATAAATAACAGCATTAAAAAGTAAAAAATGAAGAAATAGGTTTATTCATATTGTTTTAATTCCTTACAAATTCTTTATGTCTTAAGTGCTGTTGAATTTTTGTTTTGAACTTTGTTTAAAATATTTGAGTAATGATATTTTAGTATTTTAGTAGATTTTCGTCCCGCTTCTTTTGTATTTCGGACCTTTTGTTTTGATATACAGTCCCTTCACACGCATACAAACAGCACATATTTGAAGAGTGTGAGGTACATGGTCCCCAAAATGTGGATTCTTTGTAATCTCTTGAAAGACATTTAACACCTGTGTGCTCTCAGGTGTTAGGAAATGTTTCAAAGAAGCGGAGAAGAATAATGAATGCAGTTGGCGCCGTTTAGAACACATTCACCACCGGAGGCTTGTCAGGCCAATCAGCGAGCGTGTTTCTGTACCAGCGCTCTCTTGGCAGCCAATCGTGTTGACTGACACTTACAGGGGAGTGTTTTTTTATTCTTTGACCAGAGACAGGAGCGGTCTGTGGATGAATGCAGGGTCTCCTCGAACGGTGAGTAGGATGGAGAAATGCTTTAATGATCGACTGAAACAGCAGCTTAAACTCTGTCTGCTCCTAAAAGCCTGCATTCTGGTTAAAACTCATCTGCTCTGTGTGTGTGTGTCTGTGTGTGTGTGTGTGTGTGTGTGTATGTCCTGATTGAGCCTATAATAAGCAGTATTAAATAGAAAGGTGCTTTTCCTGAAATACCTCACTTATACATATATTATACATACTTATACTCAGCTCTTTACGTTCTTTGTTTTTAGATTTCTCTTCATTATTGGAAAACAATGACAACAGTGTTTGTCTTATATTGCAGTTTACAGTAAGTTAGAGCTAAAGTTTAAAGTTAAATGTCAGTGAAAAGTCATATAGAGTTGATCATAATACACAGGTTTATGTTCCTCGATTCCTTAAGCTGTAGACAGACATTACGAGGCAGCTCCGTCGAAGGCCAGTCGGACCAGAAGATAGTTACCAATTTAAAAAAAAACATTAATTGATTGACACCCCATGTACAGGCTTAGCCCCCTATCCTGAATAGAGGATCTCAAACCTTTTTTTGCCTACATCTTGTCTCTAGTAACGAGCAGAGAGCGCGTTACAGCTAATTATATTCGCAGCAGAGCTTGTTCTGCTGTTTTTTTAATATTTAAAAAGCTTCACTTATGGACTGTATGTTTTTGTTGGATTCTGGCAATAACAGCATGACAGTCGAAATTCATATTTGGGAACGTCAAACGTGCCACAGAGCTTACACACATGAATACATTTATTAAAAGAGAAAATTCAGATGAATAAATGTAGAACATTGAAAAGTAAAAAATGAAGAAATTAAAAATAAATGGACTTATTCATTCATACTGTTTTCAAATCTTTACACATTCTTCATGTTTTAAGTTGAATTTTTAACTTTGCTTGAAAGATTTGAGTAATGACTGAATTCTTATTTGAAGAGGGCAAATCTTAGCTTGTCATTTAATCACCTGCATTTATGTATATCATATTTGCCATAATATATGAGAAGATTAGCCAAAAGGGACATGTTTTGATTCACATTAAACTTAAAGTAATACAACTTTTATATTACATTTAACTTTTACACCAGTTATGGCAAAAAGAAAATTCTCTACATCCAGAACAGTCTGGCACAAATACAGATACACAATGCAGATACACACACACACACACACACACACACTCACACAGACACACACACACACACACACACACACACACACACACATACTCACATACACAGACACACACATACACACACACACAAACACATACATACATATTTTCTAAACGCTCATTCTTCTGGGCCGCGCGATGCCCTTAAACGCGATATATAAAATGAATAATTTTACAAGACATTTTATGAACTTTGTTAGTTGACACAATATTTCCTCCCAATCTTCCACACAACACAGCGTTCAGTGTTTTGACATTAGAAGTTAGAATTCAGAACAAACACTCTTGCCTGTGGCACACAGTGCTCATTACAGAAATGGATCATAAAAACATTTGTAATTTCTTTATCAGTGACGTTGACACCATTAAGGCCGTTTTGACACTTCAAGTGGACTCAGACCGCTGAGTCATGGTTTCTTTTGTTTATGTGAACACGCCAAACGAACTCAGACCCCCTAAACGGCCCCAAAAACGAAACGAACTGAGACCAGTTCAGTTCGGTTCGTTTGTAGTTCGGTTTGTAGTTCGATTAATTTGTGCGTAGTGAAAACAAAACGGCCCCAGTCCGCTTTAGCTCTGCTTTATGGTGAAGACCTCGATGCTCGCCGTACACGCAGCCACAGTCTTCAGCACTTCAGCAGGTAAACAGACCAGGGATCATTATGAGGTTCTACTCGGGATACAGTCTGTCCGTGATCTGAGACAGACAGCAGCGCTGACATAGTAAAGCGATCAGATGCGAGAGCCCGCGCGATTATACCGTGTTAAAGGCTCGAGCTGGGCAAGCAGCGCAATACAAACCAAATATAACCAAAACAAGTCTAGGGCAGTTGATGTATTAACTAATAGATCTTAATATAAAAGGAACTTACTTGTCCAGTGTTGTACAGTAGGGAAAGGCAAGCTTAAGGGAAAATGCACTGCTAGCATTCCAGCATTCCAGCTTGCCAGCATTTGGCAGCTAGTTGTTGAAGGTGCTAAAAGGACAAAAAATGTAGTCACCTACAAAATGATAATCCAGACAGCTGGAAATGTTACAGATGAGTTTTGTATTTCCTCGCAAGCAAAAAAGAAATGCCATGCTATAATGTAAAACATGAATTTGGATTAAAATCACAAGGAATTGCCATGAGCTACTGCTATGCTAGCTTTATATCACGCAACTCCTATAATGCATTAGTTTTACAAAAATAGCTGTTTTTAGGGATAACTTGATAATGTTGTAAAAAAGCTGTAAATTTACAGCCGCAATTCATTTTACAGTAAAGAGCTGTTTTTTGTGTATAACAGGATAATACAGATGAAAACTGGCTGTTAATTTACAGCAAATTTTAGTGTGTTTATAGATCATAGACCAATAAGCAAGCAACATTTGTTTTTGAAAATCAGACAATTTTTGAAGATTTTTATCAGTTTTAAACTTACATAGTACATAGGAGTTTTACAATATATAATCAGGAATGAAGTTCCACGATGAGTGTGGGTTTTTGATAAACTTCAGTTCAATCTTAAAAAATCCAGTTTATCTTAGAAGTGTCATTAAGAATAGGGAAACTGAGAAAATGTCAGCCACCAGATTCATAAGTATTCATTATTCACTGAAGACACCCCGTTGAGAGTGAGTGTGTGACTGACATGTCTGCTCTTTGCTTTTCCTTTTTACCAACAATCTTGTGTTTTTCCTTTTCAGTCCAAAATGGCAATAGTGCTACCGCAGCACCATCTAGTGACGGTTGTCAACAGAGCACCAGAGTTTCGTCTCTTAGGCTTCTGTACTCTTTGGCCCCTCTGCTCAAAGGCTCAGGAGCCACCAACACATTTATATGAAAATTAAACCCAGCTGTTTCACCTTTTTGCTTTATTGTTCATAACTGGGATACTACGTTTCATGCTCCAGGCTGGTTCTGCTTTTTGAAATCCTAATCTGAATTCTGAGAGGTTTCGGCTTTCTGTTTAATCATATTTTATTCATCTTTAGCTGCATGTACTCCAAGACTCAGCACTCTTAAAGTTTTAAACGTTTTAAAAGTTTTTGTGTTTTAAAAGTGGCTTTGTCATATTTTAGTGGGACAGGCAAAATTAGCAATTTGGAAATCCTTCATAGATGTTGTAAAACTATTCCAAACTCTAGTGAAATTTTGTTTTCTATCAAAGCACAATTAATAATTCTGGATTTGAAAAGAATTGGTGTGTTAATCAAGGCTTTGTTCCTGTTAATGGGGCTGTGGTGTTTTCCATTGGTGATCCTTTGTTACCTTCAAATATATAGAATTTGTTTTTAGTGACATTTTTCTTATTTGTTTTATCGGGTGCTGCATGACTAGTGTATTCTGTTCCTCTGTGTTTGTAACGATGATCTCTTCTGTCTCCTCTCCTGGTCAGTACTGATGGTGTGTGTCTGTAGGTCAGTTCTGTTCTCTCTTTCTCTCTTCTCTCTCTCCTCTCCTGGTCAGTACTGATGGTGTGTGTGTGTCTGTAGGTCAATTCTGTTCTCTCTTTCTCTCTTCTCTCTCTCCTCTCCTGGTCAGTACTGATGGTGTGTGTGTCTGTAGGTCAGTCATGCAGTCCTGCAGTTCTGCTCTCTGTATCCTGATCTTACTGATCTCTACATTCACTACTGGTAAGAACTGCGCTGTCGCTATTTTAATGTATTATTAAAGACATTTACTCTTATAATGGTGTAATAATATATTACAGGTAATCAATATTCTAAATATTGTACCTTCCCATCTCTTATTTTCACTTTAACATAGATTTCTTTGATCATAAATGATTTTGAAGTGTTCACTTATCATGTGACACTTTTTTTTTTTATCCATTCTGTCTTATTCTCTCTTTCAGAGCTCATGTCAGCTGTTCCTTCAGTGAAGGTGAAGCTTCATGACTCTGCTACTCTGCCCTGCTCTGAGAGATGCTCTGGTTTGGTCAGATGGACTGTATTCACTAAACCCACTGATGTTCTGGCTGAGTGTGATCAGACTTCATGTGGATCAAAGGAGGGATATCAGATGATCCATGATCAGTACCTGAAGGGGAATCTCTCTCTCACCATCACTGATGCTGATTTCAATAAGAGAGGCCTCTACACATCTGACTGTGATGGTAAAGATGTCTGTGATGTGCAGCTTCAGATTGAGCGTAAGTGTCCGTCTGTTTCCTTCACTGTGAATTAGTAATAGAACTCCAGTTGTTTAGATGCAGTGCTTCAGATGTGTACAGAGCTGATGAAGTTCTCATCACTTGCCAGACTCTGCCAATTTTGCCAATCTCTAGTGATTCTGGTCTGTTTCTTCCCTTCACTTGGCAAAGAACTAAACAATCATTGCCATCATGGAACGCAGAGCGGGCAGCTGCTGACAACAGTGTTGCCCCCTCAGACTGATGATTATACTTGCTGCACTGAAGTGTGGTAACAGTTCACAGCACATTCAAACTGCTACGCTGTGGAGCGCAGTGTCGCAGTTCAGTGACACTAATGATGTTCCTTTTTTTTTGTCAGCATTGAATACTTCAGTTCAGATAGAGCCCAAAGAATCTCTGTTCCTGCGTTTGGACATACCACAGGAAGTGGAGGTGTATTATAAAAGTGCAGGTGCAGCTGGACCATCCATTGGTCAGATCTGTACAGTGGATGGACGTTCATTACAGTGTAAACCTGAATATAAACAGAGAGTGTCGGCTGGTCTTGAGCTGAGAGAAATGACCCCATCTGACAGTGGAGTTTATACTGTAATGGACAAATTGAATGAAGAGGCCATTCACATCTACACAGTGTCCGTGGGGTCAGCAGGTGGAAGTGAATTACAGGGTATGTTATTACATGATCTCTATCCAATCAGAATTCACTGATCAGGAATCTGCTGCTGAGCTTTAATGATGGTGTTCAGTTAAACTCACTGTATTACAAACCTGTGTGTGTTTTGTAGGTGACCATCCAGATCTGGACACAGATAAAGGAGCTGCTGTTCCAGTGTGGGTCACTGTATTGGTTGTACTGCTGGTTGTACTGGTGGCTGTACTTGTAGCTGTGATTGTGGTGTTAGTGGTGGTGAATGTGTGGCTGAGGAGAGAAATTCAGCAGCTCAAGAAGAATGAAAACAATGGGCATTGTCAATTCAGAGAAAGAGGGACTGTCATGCACCAATAATGACAAGAATCTCAGCCCTCCTCATTAACCCGTCTGTCTTTCTTTTTTCTTTATGTGGAGGGTTTTCCATCCACTTCTTTTCAGCAAATTTTGATAAAAGCACTAGAAAACCCAAATGGAAAGGGCAGAAACCAAAGAAATGGCAAAATATTCCAAACCAATTTTTACGCTTGGAAGAGATGAAAAGGTTGGCTTATCACTAAAAGAGAATATCACTAAAAGACAAATGTGAGAAATAGTGATGCAGATTATAAATAGTAGAACTGTGACTTGATGTATGACTTATTATCTTTGAATCACAACAAACAGCTATGAATGTTTTTTTTTTTTTTATTTTTATTCTTATTTGAGGTTTTTTACCTATACATATACACATTGTTGCTGTTAAAGTTTTATTTTTCCATTTTTGTTTTTTGGTTTTTTTGTTTGTAAATGCCAGCCGTTCTCTACAATTTGTTAGAATTAAACGATGAATGGAAAACTGGAAATGATCCAAAATTACTTGGAGAAAAACGTTATTTTTGTTGTTATATTTCTTTCCAGCAAAGCAAAGAATATGATTGTATTTTATTCTGTATTATTTCTATTGTTATTTTGGGTGTCACGCATCCACCGAGCTCTAGGGTGGAGTCGGACTCAATCTCCCAGAATCCTCTGGGAGATCACCTGACCCCTCACGTGACTCCGCGCTCCTATCAGCGCTCTAGAGCTCCCGAATACTGATGGGAAGCACCTGTGTTATTTGTCATATGACATACTTAGTTTCGTATTTAAGCCCGGGCTTTAGCTCAGAAGTTTCGAGGTATTGTATCCACTTTTGCGAACTACTGAGCGGTCATTTCTTGGAATTTATCTTGTGTGTGATCTTTGTCTTTCGTTTTCTCGACTTTGCCTTTTTGCTCTGCCCTTCGGATTTGTTTGCCTGATTTCGGATTACTGTTTTTGACTCATTGCCTGTATCTTCGACCACGCTGTTGCCTGTCCCCTTCTTGAACTGGATGTATTGTCAGATGTATGTTTGTGTGTATTTTCTATGCCTTTTGGATTCGACCTGCCTGTTTTGTGACGACGACTTTGAACTGTGATTCTCTCAGTAAAGCCCCTTTGGCACGTTACATTGGGTCTTAATGTAGTTGTTGTGTAGATATTGTACAGTGTGAATGCTTCCACTGAGGTGATGGAGGCTGTAGTGCTGCTAACCTGACTCAAGTGTGTTTAGAAACAGAACACAGCAGTAACCTAGACTGACTGAGAGTCCATTAGATGTCCAGTGTGTAAATATTCAGTACTGTACTTATAATATAAAATTTTTCTATTAAAATGAAAGTTAATACTTAAAAATATCTGTGTCTGCGTATCTAACTGTGCACTGCTGTGTGATAGAAATCCTTACCTGCTTTAAAGGCACATTTAAAAACACACTACATAAGCAGGAAATATAACCCCATTTCGAAATATATATATATATATATATATATATATATATATATATATATATATATATATATATATATTTGAAAAATATATGCCCATTGTGAATTTGATGCAACAACCCATTCCCAAAAAGTTGGGACGGGGACAACAAAAGGCTGGTAAAGTTGTTCAATGCTAAAAAAACGCCTGGTGGTTAATTGGCAACAGGTCAGTAACATGAGTGGGTATAAAGATCATCTCAGACAGGCTGAGTCTTTCAGAAGAAAAGATGAGGAGGGGTTCACCACTCTGAAAGACTGCATGATCAAATAGAGCAGCTATGAAACACATTTACTGCTGAGAGCTCGGTGGCATGACTTAGTTCTCTTCAGTCAGCTCAGAAAAGGGAACTGCACAGTTTAGGGTTGTAGCACCAGAGCAACTGATTCTACACAAGATAAACCTCCTTCAGCTGTCACAAAGGTATTTTTTTTCCTTCCTGTATTTCAAATAGTTTTCTCCCTACTACATAACATTTTAAAATTGCTTTATTATTATTATTATTATTATTGTTATTAGGTGTGTATTGACATTCATGTTCCATGTAGTACACAACAATAGCTCAATCAAACATATAAATATTTAAGAAGCTTCCACTGATATTACCAAGCAGAGGAGTGTGCACCACCATAGCTGGAAATGCAGAATGTGAACCTTTTATTTGCTTCTGACTCTTGTCTGACAGCAACAGTGACCAGAGCAGGGTCCAGCCTTTCAGCTTCTCTGTTTGAAAGTGTGCTTATTTGAGTCTTAACTGTGTTCTAGTCTGATTAGTTTGAAATGACATGAGTATGAAGTAAAATGAAGCAGTGAGTAATGAAGCTCTAAGTTTCAACTATGAGGGAACTTTATTACTCTAAACGGTCTCAGAGTCAGATACAATACAAAGTGAACATCACTGTTGTTGGAACAAAACCTCGAACCTCCTTCTTCTTTACAGGAGAAGGACAAAACACACTTCACATCCAATGTAAGTCAATGGAAGCAGAGTTTTTTACAAGTAATTTTGGGCCATTTCTTTTGGTCCATTTTTCATGAAATTTACACACAATGTAAAGAGCAATAGGTATTTTCAAATTTGAACAAGAATCTGGTGAATATCTGACTTCAGCTTCATATCACTGAAGAATTAGGGGTGGGTGATAATAAATAATTGCCCCCCTCTTTGAAGGCATATGATGCCCTAAATGTAACTAAAGCCCAGCAGTGAGGAGCTGAACTTTACCCTCCTCTGCTGTCACTGCAGACTGGCAGGGTCGCCTACAGAGCAGCGCTGGTAGCTGTTAATGAAGTGATGCTCTTTTTATTTGAGGGTCCCATTTCAGAGGGAAGATTTCAACCACTACCCTGTAACTCAGTTCCAAGGGGCAACACTCGAAAAACAAGGAATAGGGGTAAAAATAACAAATGGGATTGGGCCTTAATTTAACACAGGCTCAGCTGAACCCGGAACTTCAGGGTTTAATGCTCTGAAGTTACTCTGAAGCTGTGTAGAGCTGGACAATATGATGATATTTATTATTATTGTGATGAAGTACATCAAAATATGTCACTATGTATTTCTGAGCATATTGTCGATATCATCAGTACATAAAATTCACTTCCTAACTGTATATTTGATTAAGAAGTTAGCAGATTGAATCCTATTTCACTGGATTTAGAGCAGCACAGTGCATGAAATGATGAATACAAGTTCTTACATTTATCATTTTTAAAGGATTTTTAAAATGTGGCTAAACTTATTAAATGTCAGAAAACATAAACATGGCATATTGTGTGTTGTAAAACTATCATGATATTACATTTTGCCACCTGTACATTATTGTCCACCTGTACCGCTAAACTGGAGGTACTGTCAAATTAAAAATGAAAAACTACATACAAACAAAACACACCCACATATTATATATATTTATACTTTTATATATATATATATATATATTCATTTACACCTACAGCACATAATAACGGCCTTTTCAAACACTTCTTTCTTTCTTTCTTTCTTTCTTCTTTCTTTCTTTCTTTCTTTCATTCCCTGCAGTTGAGGGAATGAGTGTACACTTTTCTGAAATTAGATGTGTATCAGATACAGTTTCCTTTTCAGTCAGTAAGTTTTTCCTGTAAAGGCAGCTCATCTCAAGCTTCTCTGAACAGAACACTATGAAAAAACCTAATCAGTGCTGTAGTAGTGTTTAACACCTCCTCTAGTTGAGTACAGTAACTCAGTTAAACAGCACAGCGTTCGATTAAAACACACCATGAAGTCCACAGAACATCATGGTGGAAGGTATGTAGGCCTAAGTATGGAATATTATCGTTTCAGAGGTGATCTTACCTTAAACCTGAGTGAGTTCATGTCCTTATCAGGTTTAAGATAAACCTCAGTTAAACCTGAAATACAGCACCATCAGCTGTGTGGTTGTTGAAGAACACAGCGGTCGGGTTTACTTTAAACCGCAGCTTCCGAGGGCACAGCAGTGGAGTTTAAGACGCCACGTGACAGGTTTAAACTCGCCGTGTATCAACAATCCCCCCTTAACAATTAACCCATTTTTCATGGACCCAATCAACACTCCTATTTACAGGCCAAAACCCGGCCCGGCCCCTCCCCGTCCCCTTCTCTTGCAGCAGCCAATCGCATTGTGGATGCCTCTTTTCTCTGAAGTGCTTTTCTGTTTTTACTTTACAGAACATCACTGGTAGTGCCGGAGGTCAGCAGGGGTGAGAGGGCGAGTCTGCTGAGGACTTCAGCGTCGCCTGTCGTGGTGAGTATGATTGATAAATGCTTTATTGATCGATTATTCTGACTGAATCAGCAGTTTAAACACCGCCTGCTCTGACAGTCTGAACTGTGGATGTTAAAACTCTGTGTTCCCCAGTGCTGTCTGTGATGCCTCCTGCTTTGTGTGTGTGATTGTGTATGTGTGTGATTGCATGTGTGTGTTGTGTGTGTGTGTGTGTGTGTTGTGGGTGTTTGTGTGTGTTTTGTGTATGTTATGTGTGTGTGTGTGTTTGGGCCCATGACATCAGGATCTGCTCTGGACAATAAAGGTGTGATGAACACAGGGTCACTGAATAGAATCACACTGAAGAGTGGAATAAAGAGTACTGTGGTTACTACTGACATGATGGTGCTGTTGCCAGTAAGAAAAGTGGGGATTTCTCAAAAGCCTCATCATGATTATGCAGAATATCTCCTCTCTGTGGGTCACATGCTGAAATAGCAGCATGATCAGCAGAGACAATATGAATCAGTTAAAGGCTATAATTACACACGAGTTCTGTGAATTAAAGTCACTGAAAACTGGAAAGTTTAAAGAGTTTAAAGAGTTAAAGCTCCATCTTTCAGCCAGCACATGCTCGAGTAGAGTGGGCGGAGCTTTCGCGTAACTGATCGAGCCATTGATACAGAAAACTTTTAATGCCGGGGCAATATGCAAATGATATCTTTCTGTATTACTTCGCTGGTGGCATCACATACTCTCTCTCGCTCTCTCCCTCTATCTCTCTCTCTCTCTCTCTCTCTCTATCTCTCTATTGCTCTCTCCCTTTATCGCTCTCTCTCTTGCTCTCTCTCCCTCTCTCTCTCTCTCCCTCCCTCTATCGTTCTCTCTCTCTCCCTCTCTCTCTACCTGGACTATGTATGGCTGTAGATATGCTCAGGATTCTAAAGCTTTGGCTAATTTAATAATCTAAAGTTATCAGTGTGGAAGTCCTTCAGGTTGTCTGAATGGCAGCAGGTGGATGTTTTAAAATTGTTCCAGGCTTTAGTGGAATCACACAGTAGAAATGAGCTTGTTTTTCATCAAAGTACTCATCATATCTCCTGTTTTGAGAGAAAGTGGTGTGTTGGTCAGAGAGTTGTATCTGTTACTGATACGGGTGTGATAGTCTGTTGTGTGTGATGGTATTTCATTGGTGAATCTATTTTTCTTTAAGAACCTTTATTATTATGAATATAACTATTAGCTCTCTTCTTTACTATCACATGTTAAATCTTTATTTGGAGTGGTCTTTTGTAAATGATTAATAAACCCTTAACAGATTATCAGTAACACAACATCATATCAGTGAAGTAGCAGTAGTGAAGCGTCTGAATACACTGAGGTAAATATGCTGTAGATGTTCTGTTGATACATTACTTACATTAAATAGTAGGATTAGTGGCCCTAATCCTAACCCTACACTTAAACCCAACCCAAAACCCAATCCTAACCCTAATCTTGGTCCTAATCCTAACCCTAAACTTAACCTCAACCTAAAACCTAATTCTAACCCTCACCCTGGCCCTAATCCTAACCCTAAACTTAACCTCAACCTAAAACCTAATTCTAACCCTCACCTTGGCCCTAATCCTAACCCTCACCCTGGCCCTAATCCTAACTCTGACCTTAACCTCAGCCCAAAACCTAATCCTAACCCTCACCCTGGCCCTAATCCTAACTCTAATATTAACCTCAACCCAAAACCTAATCCTAACCCTCACCCTGGCCCTAATCATAACTCTGTCCTTAACCTCAACCCAAAACCTAATCCTAACCCTCACCCTGGCCCTAATCCTAACTCTGACCTTAACCTCAACCCAAAACCTAATCCTAACCCTCACCCTGGCCCTAATCATAACTCTGTCCTTAACCTCAACCCAAAACCTAATCCTAACCCTCACCCTGGCCCTTAATCCTAACTCTGACCTTAACCTCTCTCCCTGTATCAGTCTCTCTTCACACCCTCTCTGTCTCTCTGTGGTGAATGGGGGTCAGTGTGTGTCCTTATTTGTGTACCTCCCTGGACAGCTGAGTGCTTTCTCTTATTTCTTATCGAACGTCCTGACGTGTATTGATTCTATTGATTCTGTATGTAATGATGCTTTCTTCTGTCTCTCCTGTTCTCATTGATAGTGACCAATATTGATTATGGTTTTTAATTGCGTTTACGTCTTGTCTCTGTAGCTGAGTCATGAAGTCCTGCATGACTGAATTCCCTGCTGTCTGTGTCTTACTGATCATTATGTTCACTGGTGGTAAGTGCTACATTGTCACTCTATCATCATATTAAAGACTTTACTCCTCTGTCTTACTAGCACTTATTTACCAAAGTGAAATGTGGTTATTATATGTAATATTATAATCCTATATTATGAGGAATATTTATTGTAAATATTTTACTTTCACTTTACTTACTTTCACTTTAAACATGCTGGATTTTAAACCTTCTGCTTTATGGTTTGCCAGTTAAAATCTGCTCTTCTAACAGCATGAAACCTGTGTTGAACCCTTTTATCCTTTTTGTCTTTATTTCTCTTTCAGTGTCTCACTCAACTGTACCCTCAGTGAAGGTGAAGCGTCATAGCTCTGCTGCTCTGCCCTGCTCTGAGAGATGTTCTGGTTCAGTTAAATGGAGCCTGATTCATAGGCCTGGTGATGTTCTGGGTCAGTGTGATCCAGAGTCATGCTGGCTGAAAGAGGGATATCAGATGTCCCATGATCAGTACCTCAATGGGAATCTGTCTCTCACCATCACTGACGCTGATTTCAATAAGCGAGGCCTTTACACATCTCAGTGTGATGGTAGAGACCTCTGCAGTGTCCAGCTTCTGATCGAAGGCAAGTGTTTGTGTTTTCTTCACTGTGATTTACTAATAGAAAATGTAAACGCTGTACTGAATGTTAGATCACAGTAAAAAATAACAAAACGTTTTTAATTTGGGGTCTTATGAAAGACAATAAGCTTCATTTTATGTCCTTAACGGAAACATGGTTGAATGATAGTGGGTCAATGATCTTGCTTGAAGCTGCTCCTGAAAATGACAGATTCATGCACACTGTATGGTCAGGGAATGTGAGGGCGAGGAGTGGCATGTATATATAGTGGTGATTTTAACCGCATAAACAAGACTTTTAGTGTCTTCTCGTCTTTTGAATATGTTGCACTGAGTTTTGTGTGCAATACATCAGTGTTATTAGTAAATATGTATAGACGTCCAACTCATGATGCTGTTCTTTGCTATGTAGAATGAATTAACGTTACATAAACACCTGTAGGAGCAACATTTGTCCAGGAGCTCATTGATATTTCAGTACTGACCAGTCAGGAACTGGTACCAATTTTAGTACCAGTTCTCAATACCCATCCCTATTAATTCAGTCTGAGCTGTAACCCTGTTAAAGAGATGGCTAAGTAAACATGTACCCTGCTTAGCTGTTTCAATGCTAACATCAATTTGGAAACTGCTGCTGTCAATTGAGAGGGATATAGCGTTGCCCATAATGAGGTACACTGTATGTCCAAAAGTGTGTACCCACTACTGACACAGGAGTTCAACTGCACAAAGAGCTTCAAATCTCCAAAGAATATTATTACCAGTAGAATGGGACATACACATAGAGCCTAAGGTCACCATGCTTAGTGCTAAGTGTCAGCTAGAGGGGTATGAAGACCCCCCAGTATTGGGCATTGAGCAGTAGAACTGCATTCTCTGGAGTGATGGAGTTCCATCCAATACCTTTAGGAAGAGTTGGAGTTGGAGTGGCATTTGTGATCCAGAACTAATCATCCAACATCAGTAACTGACCTTACTAATGCTCTTGTGGCTGAATGCAATCAAATCCTCACAGCTCCCAAATCATAGCTTTCTCATCGACTTTATCACGTATCCACCACCATGGCATGCAGTCTCACAGTTTGCATCACAGTCAAACTCCAGTGTCACAGTGCCGTATCACAGCTCGTGACACAGGCAAACTCCAGTGTCGCAGTGCTGTCTCACAGCTCACGGCACAGTCAAACTTTGCAACAGTCAAAAAAATCTCTTCTCAGACTTTCTGTTTTCAAGCTAAAAGGTACGAGTGAGGCTGAAACTAGCTTCCTTTTAATGCGGCAAAATGTAACTGTGGCAACATTTAAGGTGGAGGATTTAAGGAAATTCGAAAGAGAACCTAGCGAAGCAAACTCCATCCCCATTTGGGAATGGACTGTCTCCTCAGTGCAAATTTCCAACCATGACCGACTGCAGCTTTTAGAAGTGCAGGAATGGATGACAGTGCTGGAGTCGTTGACTGGCAGAGGGCATTGCGTGAAGGTTTTAAGTTTTTGGACACTTTGAGTAACTAGACCAATTGGGCCCATGACCACCTGTAGCCCCAGGGCCCATGAGCAGTTTAAAGCCCCCCTGCTAATGGCGCAGTCAAACAATGGTAAACAAATGAAAAACCTGAAGTAAAGCAGCAGACCTGAGTGCTAATGATGCTTCTTTTTGTTTTTCCTCCCCTTAGTATTGAATACTTCACTTCGACTGAACACTGGTGAATCTCTGGTCCTGAATTTGGAGATACCGGAGGAAGTGGAGGTGATTTATAACAGTATAGGTGCAGCTGGACTGTCCAGTGGTCAGATCTGTACAGTGGATGGACGTTCATTACAGTGTAAACCTGAATATAAACAGAGAATGTCATCTGCTCTTGAGCTGAGAGCAGTGACTCCATCTGATAGTGGAGTTTATACTGTAATGGACAAAAGGAATGAAGAGGTCATTCACGTCTACACAGTGACCGTGGGGTCAGCAGGGGGAAGTGATACAGTGAAAGGTATGTAACCTGCTTTCTTCAGTTCAATCAGAGTTCACTGATCAGGAATCTGCTGCTGAGCTTTAATGATGGTGTTCAGTTAAACTCACTGTATTACAAACCTGTGTGTGTTTTGTAGGTGACCATCCAGATCTGGACACAGATAAAGGAGCTGCTATTCCAGTGTGGGTGACTGTGCTGATTGTACTGCTGGTTGTACTGGTGGCTGTACTTGTAGCTGTGATTGTGGTGTTAGGGGTGGTGAATATGCGGCAAAGGAGAGACATTTGGCAGCTCCAGATGAACACTGAACTGAATGCAGACTAAGAGGAGAATCACTACAATGTGAACCTGTCTGAGAAACTGACTGTTGATGAAGGACTAGAGGACAGATGACAGCACCAGTGGTGGACAGTAAATGTAATTTGTTACTGTACTTAAGTAGTTATTTCCATTTTCCTTTTGGTTTATGTGTGAATATAAACGGAACATGTCAAAACAAAAGAAGCGCAAAGCAAGAACACCAATCAGGGCACAGCGGTCACTTTGTTTTGATCCGTTGGTCATACAGACCCAGTGCAGCACACGGTTCAATGTCAGTGCAGCAGCGTAAAATTTTGGGAGAGTCTGTTCAACATAAATGATGAACTAACCTAACTTTGTGTAAATAGACCACAATATAGAAATATGTACACATATGCAGTTGAGACTGACGTGTCTTTATTCTGAATTTATACAAACACTATTTCATTTTATAGTAAATTAGTTTAGGCTAGTTTATGTTTATGAACAGAGACCTACAGATGCAGTTTAGTAAAGGAAACTCATTTGTAAATCTGAGTTTAAAGCAGTTTTTATTAAACTTAAACTTGTAACTAAGTTCAAATAAATCTTAAACTGAAACTTTGCTCGTTTGTAAAAAGTGATTTCAGAGCCACTCAGTTCTACCTGATGGAAACTGTTTGCCTTCAGTGTTTTGTGCTTATGATAATTTTAATAGACATCAGCGTCACTAATTAATGACTCTATTAAAAGACTGGTTTACCAAGAGAGACACTGGAGTATTTTCACCTAAAATGAGTTAATGAAGCAAAAACGGTAACAGGACTTTAGAGCCATAATTAATCTTTTAGTACTTTCACTTTTGATACTTAAGTACATTAGAAGGCAAATACTGTTGTACTTGTACTCAAGTGGAGGTCTAAAGGGAGGAACTTCTACTTTTACTGGAGTAATATTTTACCTTAGGTATCTCTACTTTAACTCAAGTACATGGTTTGTGTACTTTGTCCACCACTGGACAGCACCTGGAGCAGGGTACGCTGAGGAGCCACTGCGCCAAGAACACAGCAACAAGACATGGCACCTATGCTGGCCAGGATGGTGGACTGTGTGGGTAGCCGGGATGGCTGACCCTTGAGAAAGGGTGGTTTGGTTTAAAGATTTTGCATTTCTGGGGGGTGAGGACTGTAACCTTATTGTGGAGGGTGGGCCTACGAATGACCCCGGAGGTGTATGTGTATGCATGTGTGAGCTGAGACAGGGAGTGAGAGACGTGAGCTGGTTAGAGAAGAACTCCACTTATGTACTTCATAACTGTGGCTGACGACAGCAGTAAAGTAAATCACCACAACTTGTGCTAAAGCAGTGTCTCTTCTAATAGTGGTGTTCACTACATTTCATGTCTATATCATGTTTCTTGTCATGCTGTTTATTGATGTCCATGATGTCCTTCAGATTATAAACATGTGCTGGTCCATGTTTATTTTCATGTTAAACAATACATTTTTAAACAATTTTTAACGACCCAGAAGGAGAAGCAGCTTAGAAGAAGTGTGTGTGCATGTGTGTGTATTATTTTAAAGCCAAACACATATGTGTAGGTTCACTGGTGGTTCTGGATAGTAAATAAAATGTCTATATCTGTGTTGTAGTCATGGCGACCCCTGGTTCCTATCACCACCACTGTAAAGACGTCTGAACCATTTCACACCAATCCAGTCAGAACCTCTGTTAACATCTCACACATTGAATTATGGGGGGACTTATAAAAAGGTGGATATGACAGCAAACTGTCTTTCACTGTACAGTTTAAAGAAGCTTCTAAAATATTAGAAAAGATTGGGTCACTTTATTAAACCCACATTTTTATGCAATTTCTAAACAAACTTTTATTTTCATTTATTTTTTATTAGCAGTTATTTTCACTACTTTTTGTTTATATTACAGTCACTTTTTAAAATGATCACCATTATTTCTATTTCCACTTTAAATCTTTTGATTGATGCTGATTTTGTTGTTCTTATTTTTGCTTATTTTACCAAATTTTAGTATTATTGTTTGTTATTTTTTATCTTATTTTACTATTATTGATTATTTTGTTGATCTTGTTTTTATCTTATTTCATTATTTCTGCTTATTTTTTGTCTGCTTATCCTATTTTACCATAGTTGTTTATTTTATTGTTACTTTTATCTTATTTTACCATATTTGCTTATTTCATTTTTCTCATTTTTATCTAATGTTATTTTGTTTTTTTTATTGTGTATGGTTTATCTTATTTTATTCGGATACATTTATAATTACTATTTATTGTGTGATTTTATTTTTCCATAATTGTGTTTGTCTTTTTTTTTGCCTCATCTCTCTGTGAAGTATTCTGGTCTGTGTTCTGTGTTTGGTGTGTGAAGAGTGCTGTACAGTAAATCTAGTTATGTATTATTGCAGAATCAGCAACTGACCTTTCATTCATTATGACTGGTTTTGAAGCAGCACGTGTAAACAATCATTGATGTTGTGGTCACTGGGGATTTCCATCTTTTACCAGAAATTAGAGCTCATAACCGTTCAGAGAAATCAATCTGGGAATTTTACCTGTTCATGATCTTTACTGAAACTCCAGCAGTTAACTCTCATCACTCACTCTGACTTATTGTACCTTTACACTATCTATCACTTCAACATCAGACTGAAACGTACTACAATTAAGACAAGTGTAACAGTTGAACATAAACTCACTGAATTTAATGTGAATT